AAAGCTCGGGTTGTGGCGCAGGGATTCACACAGGAGTATGGGATCGATTTCGATCAGACTTTTGCACCGGTGGCTAAGATGCAGACCGTCCGAACCTTACTGGCGGTTGCTGCCCTCCGCAATTTGCCGTTGTATCAGCTTGACATTAAAAATGCGTTCCTCCACGGTGACTTGAAAGAGGTCGTATACATGGAAATTCCGCCCGGCTACCCTCGTGGCTCCCCCGACCAGGTTTGCCTTCTTCATCGTTCCTTGTATGGCTTGAAGCAAGCTCCTCGCGCTTGGTTCGAGAAATTTCAGCATACCATTCTGAGCTTTGGGTTTCAGCAGAGTCAAAACGATCCGTCATTGTTCACTCAGTCAACTTCCCGTGGCCGAGTTGTCTTGTTAATATATGTCGATGACATGATTGTCACGGGAGATGATGGTACTGGTATTGAGCAGCTTAAGGCTAATCTCCGAGCTGCGTTCAGTCTTAAAGATCTCGGGTCTCTCTCATACTTTCTTGGCATTGAAGTTCACAGGTCTGACCGCGGCATTCTCCTTAGCCAACACAAGTATGTTAATGATTTACTGGAGGAACATAGGTTTGGTGATTGTCGGCCGGTGCGCACACCCATTGAACTTAATCTTAAGCTGGGGCAAGATTCCGGTGAGCTCCTGGCTGATAGTCGGGTGTATCGGAGTATTGTGGGCAGTCTCATTTACCTTGTCGTTACGCGCCCAGATATTGCCTATGCTGTGCAGCTGGTTAGCCAGTTCATGGCTGCTCCTCGTGTTGATCACATGGCTGCTGTTCATCGGATTCTCCGATATCTCCAGGGGACGCGTGATGTTGGTTTGTTGCTTCCATCCTCTGGTGATTTATGCTTACGTGCATACTCTGACTCTGATTATGCAGGCTGTATCGATACCCGACGGTCTACGACAGGCTGGTGCATTCAGTTAGGTGATGCCTTTATTTCTTGGAAATGTAAGAAGCAAGACAAGGTCTCCAAATCGTCCACGGAGGCTGAATACCGTGCAATGTCTGATGCTGGGTCTGAGATGGAGTGGTTGCATCGTCTGCTAGGTGATCTTGGTGTTCACATTCCATCTCCTATGGTCTTGCACGTGGATAACACCAGTGCAATTCAGATTGCTGTTAATCCCGTCCTTCACAACCGCACGAAGCACATTGAGGTTCACATTCACTACATTCGGGACCTTGTTCGTGCCGGTACGATACAACTACGCTATATTCCTACGGAAGATCAAGTGGCGGACTTGCTCACCAAGTCTTTTACTACGAGTCGTCACTGGTTTTTAGCTAGCAAATTGATGCTTCGAGATCAGCATCAATTTGGGGGAGGCTGTTAGCGTATATTTCAGCTCACACTATTGGCCCATGTACATGCATAACCCACGTTAGTCATTGGGCCTTTATTGTTGAGGGTTTACGTAGGAATAGGTTTGGCCGAGTAGGGTTTTTCCATAGCTTGGCAGTATATATATTGTAAGTTGTATCTCATGGACGGGTTAAGGAATTACAGCCAATAGCTCGAAGAGTGTTCAAGCTCTCCCGTGGATTAGTCCTGAATATTTCAGGGATACCACGTAAATCTGTGTCTCGTCATATTTCGTTTCACTTTCGATATGTCTAACACTTCCGGTACCTTAAGGGTACACCTGATGTGGGGATTAGCTTCGGAAGTGATATAGAGTGCTTGGTTTCTGGGTATTCTGACTCGGACTATGCTGGAGATGTTGACACGAGGAGATCGATGACCGGTTATGTATTCACTCTTGGGAGTTCTATGGTGAGATGGAAGGCAACTTTGCAGTTGGCGGTGACATTGTCTACTACTGAGGCAGAGTATATGGCGCTGACAGAAGCTGCTAAGGAGGGAATATGGTTGAAGGGATTGGTTGGTGATCTGGGTCTACATCATGATCAGACAGTGGTGTTTTGCGACAGTTTGAGTGCAATATGCTTGGCCAAGGATCAAGCCCACCATGAGAGGACTAAGCACATTGACGTGAGGTATCATTTCTTGAGGACAGAGAAGAGGATTAAGGTGATGAAAGTTGGCACCGTGGATAATCCTGCTGATATGTTCATGAAGTGGGTTCCACATGGCAAGTTCCAACACTGCTGGGACTTGCTGAATGTCTTGAGTGGGTGACTCCGCCCTACCGGGCATTGATGGCGGGAGAGAGAGAGAGAGGAGCATAGTACATCAGAGATTTCAGAGGAAGAGGATTCAAGTCAAAGTGGAGATTTGTTTATGTGACTTGAATCGGACTATCAGCCGCTACGACTGGATTAGTCGGGGTCAGGGAGTGGGGTCCAGGGGCAACGCCGCAGTGGGGGTCCGGGGGCAACGGCCCGCGGTGTATGGGCTCAATGTTATTTGGGTTTGGGTTCTGGGCCTGGTTTGTAATTGTTTCCTTTACCATATTGGATTAGCTTTAGACCCACATGGAGAAGTATAAAACTTCTCATCTTCTCTGTAATATGTAATCTACTCGATATAGTGAAACTGGTTTTCTCTCGCCTGTGGACTAGCTAACACACATCGTGTTAGTGAACCACGTAAATCGTGTTTGTGTTTTTCGATTCTCGCTTTCGTATTCTTACTTTATCGATTCCGGCGATTTCCCGATCCGTAGCAACGCGTTTATAACACCTTCCTAATACTAAATCGTCATTAATAAAATCTTAGTGCTATTACCAACAAAAACAACAACAAAAAAATCTTAGTGCATACAAATCCAAAACTCATATTTTACCCTTGGTAGTTACGATGACCATCACTTAAAGAAGGGCACTATATTTATTTCCCTAACTCCTCTTCTTGATTAGTGAAAAGAGGACAAAAATACTTCCCATCCCCAAAGTAAAAATCCGTTTAATCCTTCACAAAAAGACGAACCCTTCAATCGAAAGAGAACTGTCAGAAGACTCATTTCCTCGCCCACTCGGTGAAACGGTAGCGTTGCGACCCTTGTTTGTCCTTCTCGCGTTTTCCTTATCGGGGCTCGCCGAAACTCCCCAGCTGCCGCGACCGTTCTTCTTCCCCTCCCTCACCGCTGGCGACCCAGCCGACCGTCGTCCATACCCTTCTTCTTCCATGTCCACCCACCTTCTCATTTCGCTCGAACCTCCACCGTTTCGGAGGTTACCCGACTCCTTCCTCACCGACGAAGACGACGAATTCCTCTCCTTCTCTCGCTTCTGAGGAGAAATCGCCACCGGCCGCCGCTCTCTCTCCGACTCTCTCGACAGCGGCGACGGCGACGGCCTCTCTCTCCCGGCAAGATACGGACCCTGCCTCTCCCCACGCCTACTCCCTGGAGATCCGTACGAATTCTTCTTCCTCGCTTCCCTCTTAACCGGCGACATCGTCGACCCCCTTTCCCTCTCCGCCGAGTACCTGTTCAATTCCACCGCCGATTCCCGTTTCCCGGGGGAAGGATACTTCCGCGGAGCAGCGAACGGCACCTGCCCAGGCCTCCTCGCCGCCGCAGCCGCAGCCGCGGAATTCATCATCATCATCGGTGGCGGAGCCATACGCGGAGGACCGTCGGCAATGCTCCAGATCTCGGAAGAGAGCTGGATCGCCGCCGCCGCGCCGTGATTACCCCGCTTCGGAGGCGCCGCCATTGGCGCCGCGCCCGTGATGCTCCAGATGTCGGAGGCCAGAGGGATGGTCTGATTCCTGTCCCCGGCGGCGGGGCTGTCCTTCTTGTCGAAGCTGAAGCTGGAGGCCGCCGGCCCGCTCTTCTTCTTGGCGGCGGGGCCGTCGATGCTGTTGTTGGCGCTGTTGTTCCTGGCCCGCGGGGCGGAGGTGGGCCTGGGCCGGGAGGCGGAGGGCGGGCGTTCGGTGAGGACCTCCTTGACCTTGACCCGGTCGACGTCCTCGAAGGAAGTGAGTGGGCTTACGGCGGCGTGGTGGGCCTTGTTGTTGGGTGGTTTTGGGCTGGAGGGATGGGCCGCCGGGTAGCGCTTGTTGTGGTAGCGGCGGCGGGCCTTGGGGTGGTGGCTGGAGGAGGAGGCCGGGAAGCTGGTGGCGTTGGATTCGTCGGAGCTCTTACTGGCACAGCAACCCATTTTGTTTGTTTAAAAACAGAGTAACTGAGAATTGAGGTAAGTAAGAATGGGAATGTGGGGAAGAAAGGATGGAGGGCTTTAGATAAAGGAGGTGAAGAAATACAGAGAGAGGAGACGAGGAAGGGCGAAGGAATTGAAGTATGGGGTTTGTTTAGAAAAGAACCGGCGGAGGGGGCGGCCAATGGGGAGAGGTTGAGTACAAGAGTGGATTTTTTTAGTGAGGTTGACGGGTAACTTCAAAATTGTGTTGCTCGTCAATTTCTTGTTTTTTCCAGTGTTCTATCTTAGATTGTCTTCTTTTCTTTTATTCCGTTTGTGAGAGATGGTTAGCGTTTTTGGGTATGGATTGTATTATTGTAATGAGTTGTGGGTATCAATCAAAATCATAGGTGCAAACTAAGGAAGTGCTTGTAGGTGACAGCCAGCTGATGATGATCGAAACTCTCATTCGGGTAATATGTGAATTGTGAGATGTTTTGTTCTCTTGATCTGGTTCAGATTGCGGTTTATCATATGAGGTCGTGGACCCAATTAGTAGTCCACTCGATCACTCTTCTCGCACCCCCCAACGAGGCCAACATCTCAACTTTCGTTTTTTGAATCACGTCCTCTGCTTCATTCACAAATCACACTATGGTAGAGAGCATAGACGATAATGTCTCCATATGACACTATATTGATGTTTATGACGTTAAGGTGGAAGTTGGGTGGCTCTAACTTTGTGTACATAATTTAGTTGAATTTATGGTATCAAGCATGTGCTTTGAATTATAGATTTTTGGAAAACACATATGGGCTCTCGGTTATTGGTTTTATTTATAGTATGATAGAGCAAACAAATTGCTTACTTTTTTCTAACGTGTCTGCCTGGTCTGAACCACATGGTACCAAATCACATAGACGTTTGGTCTGAACTATAGAGTATTACTATTTAGTCTGGTTTGAACCATACACCATATGTATCATCCGATCTCACAAAACTACCCTGACCTGTAAGTAAAAGGATGAACAGTGTTTTTATATTACACTGATACAAATGTTAGCCGAAAATCAGTTAAACGACAATGACTCATTTCTTAGAGAACAAAGAACACGTTCGAATCGAGATGTGCAAAGCCGGTTATTTCACTTCATGTGTTGCCTCTAATTCTCGACAAGGGTGCAGCAATTATAAACACTACGATTCATGGCCTTGCTCAAACAATTATTGAAATTTACAGCCAGGAAGGATGACCGAGTAAACAAAAGTGACGCTTAACATCAAGTTAATCCAAATCCCAAGAACAGCTCACCCAGGTTTTGTTGTACGTGCCATTAATGTAATCTCCCGCTGCATGGATCTTTACTTCCAATGAAAGTGACAGGGGCTGTTTCCAATGTGGAACAAAAGGACAAATGCAAGAAATTTTCATCTTAAGATACAGATGCAGCTGTGCGATCCGACTCAATCATCGATTTGATGTAGAACTCGCCCGCCTTGTATGATGATCTAACCATTGGACCAGATGCCACGTACCGAAATCCCTGTAAACCACATCCATACACCGGTATAAGAATAAGACATGCCAAAGAACAAAGAGACAACCAAGAAACCAAGACTAGGGAGAGAGAGAGTTGACGTCAAACCCAATGGTGGCAATGCTATACTGAAATGCTATAATAAAACTCTCGATTGGTGCCAGTAAAGCGGAGAGAGATGGTACAGAGACTGTTAGCAATGAGACAAATGAATTCCAATGTGGAGAATGATTAACGTTATATAATGATATGTAAACCTTATTCCAGAATCCAGATCACAATGCACTTTAGAAAAAACTACCAAGCACAGTCCAGCAGGACAGAATGGAAGCAGGCTGACTAAAGAGGTATATGACTGAGACTCCAACTAATACCATATCTAGTCTAAACACAAGCACAATGCCAGATTGCATGAACAAGAGAGTCCACCCTTGGCTATTTCATGGTGGTAAACAGTACAAAGCAAACACTATATAATTTTGAAATCGAAATTGCACCAGCAGAGAGGTAAACCCAAATCAGTTTGGATGGGTGTGCAGACCATAGAGCGGTCACACAAGAAGTTGGGTCCTCAGAAAGGCCGTGAGCTCAATCCTACTCTGATGAGAAGTTATATCAGCTTTGATACATTATATGTACAGTTATTGGAATCGCTAGAATACCGACTATCAAAAGTTCAAGTGGAACTCAACACTCCGAGGAAGATATTTTGAGAAAATGTAGTATCCACCAATTGAACTAATTATCAAAAACTGCCAAGGATAACCAATAAAAACCAATACTAACATTGATCACAGAGCAATTTTCTCAAGCAAATTATATTTTCAGAATCTTTACTGTGAGATTGCATAAGCATAAGTAATGGAAGAGAGTCAAAACTTCTGGTTCAAGGAATAAGGGACTCGCTGCAGAATGGAACGGTAACAGCATTTCCTGATTTACATTTTAAAAGTCCAAGTTATAACTAATCAAAGCATAGTTTGGGAAGAGTTAGCCGTGTTATGCCATTCAATATCCATGCAAATTAACAAATAGGCATAGACAATCTAGCATCAGACAACTCAAATAGAACAAAAACAAAAACATTAATTTCCAGGGAAAAGCAAGATGTTAGAAAACCATACCATGTCCATGCCTAGAACTCTGTACTTCTCAAAGGCCTCAGGGGTAATGTATTCAGATACCGGCATATGGCGCTTGGATGGTCTCATATATTGACCAAAAGTCATCACATCAACACCTGCAGCTCTCACTTTCTCCATAGTTTTCACAACTTGTTCGGGTGTTTCACCGCATCCCAACATTACCGATGTCTTGGTTAGCGTTCCAGCAGGGGCGTACTCTTTGGCCCTCATTAGAACATCTAAAGATTGCTTGAAATTAGCACGGTGGTCCCTTACAACACTTTGGAGCTCTTCAACTGTCTCAATGTTGTGAGCAAAGACGTCCAATCCTGATGTTGCAACCTTCTGAACACAACCAGAATCCCCTCGGAAATCAGGAACTGTACAGGCAAAGAGAAGAATAACCATAATTCAGAAATATCAATATCAATACATAAGCACAATCGACGAACTTAAAACAAATTACTAAGCCTTTCACAAAAATTATCAAATGAGTGGTGAAATCAACCAAAGGAAAGCAAGTTAGTTTCATTACCCAAGGCTTCTATAAGCATGTTAGGCTTCAAAGCCTTCAACTTTTGCACGGTTTCAGCAAAATGGCCGCTGCCCTGATCATCCAAATCATCACGATCGACACTGGTAATCACCACATAATCCAGTCCCCACGACGCAATCGCCTCAGCCACATTTCCTGGCTCGTTGGGGTCAGGCGGCGGAGGAGTTCTCGACGTCTTCACATTACAAAACCTTTTTGAAACAGCCAAAAGGAAGACAAAAAAAAAGGAGGCAAACGCTTAAAACCAATCAACCACACCATAAAGCTCCACAACTTAATCACCTATGGAACTTTACCTACACCCACGCGTGCAAGTATCTCCCAGAATCATAATCGTCGCCGTAGCAGTCCCTGTTTCGCCGCCGGACCAGCACTCCCCCAAATTAGGGCATTTCGCCTCCTCGCAGACAGTGTGGAGCTTCAATTCCCTCAGCTTCTTCTTGATCTGAACATACTTCTCCCCACCGGGAATCGCTTCTTTCATCCACTTCGGTTTGGGAAGCGGCTTCTTCTTGGTTCCGACCTCGACGGAGTAGGAGTCGTTGGACTGGAGGTCGACGAAGTCGGAGATTATGGGGGATTCAGCAGCCAATCGGGCTCGCAGGCTGGCCAGGGTCTGCTCGAATTGGGGCTTCGTGGGCTCGATCGTAGTGGAGAAGGAGCGAAGAGCCCTCGATAGGGTTTGGAAACGTGGTTTCATGGCTGTCGGAGATGTGGTATTCTCGCCGTGCCGGCTGATGTGGATTTGTGATAGAAGAAGTGAATCGGGGACGGAGGAAGGAAAGGAAAGGCGGGGGAAGGAGGCAGGAAGACGGTGTGGTGGCCGTTGGATTTGGCTGACAATTGGTTGGTTAGTTTGGTGGGGTTTCGGTCATGGTCTATGGATGGCGGTTGGTTGGCTGCAGTTTACGGACTCCTATGGGCCTAAGATGTTGGGCTCTAATCGGGGGTGTCCTTTTTTCGCAAGAAAGTCATTAACTGTAACACCTACGCTAATCTGATAATTATATGGGCAAAGTAGGAATGCGAAGTAAGAAATCGATCTTAATTGATACTAGTTTATGCCCGCCTGATGGACGGTGAGTGTCATTTGTTTGTAATTTTCACATGGTATAGGATTCTTACTTTCCATATTTATTTATTGTTGTTATATATTATCTGTGTTTCATCTAATATGAAGGGCGCTACATTTAATTGAGGTTTTAATCATGATCAACAATTATGTCAAACAACGTTGTAACTTTATCACCACTTGGAACATAGTATTCTTGACCATTTGATCTTTGATTGACCAACAATTTTCAACTTAATAAGTTCAACATGGTTTAACCTAGCATATGTCACATTACCATACTCCTATCAAGTTTTGCTATTTAGGCTATGAATTAATGGAATTTGGGGCATGATATTATACCATAGCCTTTAATGGGTGAACCTCATTATCTAATCTAAATCGTAAGATTCATTTAATGCAAAAATAGTAACCAACGAATTTTATGTGTCAAAATATATTAAAGTACAACTAATAGGTGTGAATGTCAGAAAAAAAAACTAATAGGTGTGAATGAAAGTGTATATTACACTTCGAGCGTACGCTAGCCTTTGCCACCATTATATTAAAGCAAAACCAAACTATTATGTAGGACTGGGAATCGGTGCAGTTGCGGTTAATTGCACTGAAATTTATGGTTAACAGAAATCGATACGGAGCCATATATGCCAACCGCAGTCTCACCACAAACGGTTTGATCTTAACGACTAACCACAAAGTGCGGTTAATTGCATTAGTAATTGTTTCGATGAGTTGCATAAATTTTGGGTTTCCGACTTTGTCGCCAATGCGAGAGGATGGATCAAGGGCCACCAAATCACGGTTAACAGCATAAATAATCGGTTAAATTGTGGTTACCTGTTATTCGGTTGCAGTTGTGGTTGTGGTTAAACCGCAACCGTAAAATAGGCTATTTTTTCGATTTTTGGTTAACCACTAATCGCACGGTTTTGGTGTGGTTAGTAGTTTAACCGCAAAATTGCAACTGAATTCCCAACCCTACTATTATGCTGTGCTTCTATATTACCTTCAACGTTTTATTACTGATGTCAAAATGAAATGTTAGTTATAGAGACACTTTGTCTTCGCTTCACATTATCATTCAATATTAAATGTGTGACTGACTGTAACTGGAAATGTGTGATAACATAATACAAATGTAAAGGCACCCTTTTGTGCAATCGGTACAGTAGATGAATTTACATGACATCAGTCATGGTATGATTCTGCGTTGGTTTGACAGGATACTGGTCCGAGTACATCTCGTGCTGGTAAAGAGGACATTAGTCAGGGTATGATCTCGCAGTGGATTTCCAGGACACCAATCTATGCATAGTCCGCGGTGGTATACATGACATCTAGTGTACTACCCGGGGAGTGTATGACTTGACAAATTAATAAGTAAAAAGTATTGAATTAACCTAACCGTGCATGTGATTGAATCCTTGTATAAAGATTACTTATGATGTGGGATACGAAATGTGCATGTCGATGATGATGGTTATGTGATGGTTTTTTATAGTGTTTTATACAATGATTTACCATGAGATGGTGTAATGTTTCGCTATGTTGGGACGGGGTTACATGGTGATGCCAGTATGATGTGATACTTGATGCATACATGTTTATACAGTGAGTTATCAAGACTGAAATGTTGCTTGATTTAGGTGCTATTTATTTGAACACGACCCAAAGTTGCACATTTACAATCATGTAGGAAAAAGAAAGGAACTTATGTCAAACAATAAAAAGAGAAAAGAAAGGAATTATAATTACATTAGGAAAGAAGTAAACACAATGTGTTTTATAATTGTGAATGGAAGAAAATTAAATGAAGTATGAAAAATAAAAATAGAAATAAATTGGAATAACATAAAAGAAAAGATAATGATTTATTTTAATATGCGAGAAATGTCAAATTCAATCCCTAAAGATGACAAAATGCATATTTGTATATGCACATTACTTTTCTTGTAACTTCTTTTACCAATTGGTCACAGACATATTTAAACTATATAGCCATAATTCGATTTTGAAAAAGATACAAAAAAAATTTGGTAACCATTGGTGATATTCTTAAACACATGAAATTGTCGTCTATCATTTTAACATATGAGTGAACTATGTTTATATATTTGATTATCTTAAAGTATAGGAAAATGTCATATGAATAAATTATTATGACTATGTTCTGACTTAGCTAATCATCATTGTTACTACATGATATTATCTCTTAATAATCTAGTAAAAACACAAAAAAATATTTCTAGTACAACGCAATAAGAGTGTATAGTTAAGATATTTTTAGTATATCTTTTCTATCAAACTACAACATAATTGTATTGGTTCACATATTTATAATAGTTTGTACAAACAAAATGTTAAATTCTTCGTATTTTAGAATACGAAAGAAGGTTATTCTTTGCTTTTTTATTTTTAAATTTTAAAAGAAAATCACATGTCAAATTATGTAAAAGTTTAGAATTTTGTATCGACTAATTTCAGCTTTTTTGGTTCTTTAATGATTTTTTAAAAATTATGAACAAATATCAAACATATTATAAACTAAAAATTAAACATAGGTTATTTGTAGTTGTTAATAATTTTCTACCATTGCTAAAAAAATAGAATACAAAATTTTTTCCATGATAGTTTTTATTGTAATGTATAGAAGTCAACCATTAAATAAAAATAGAATGTTATGTGTTGTATATTTTTTATAACATGAGTATTAATTTTGTTGTGATTAATTGCATCAAAGAGATTTAATTCTATTGGTTAAACAGTTTAAATGATTATAGTTTGAGCTCCTAGGTTGCATGATTAAATCTTAGTTATGGTGATTGATATACATGTTTTGATGTGATTAATGACATCAAATATACTTTATCCTACTGGTTTAACACTTGAAATGATGATAGTTTAAACTCATAGGTCACAGGTTCAAATCATGATGATTGATATACATGCTTATTTAGTTTTATTTTAATGGAATTAATAACTTTTAAATATAAAAATAATAAAAATAACATGGAAAATTGTGGAGCTTTCTTTGTCCTACGTGGCAAAAACTTTCTCTACAACGGCCATAATATAAGTTAAGAAGAAGACGCATTTTTTTGTGAAATTGAAGAGTTCATAAGAACTCTGAAGTTAAACGTACTCATAATGGAGCATTGCAATGATGAGTGATCTTATGAGAAATCACTTTGATATGCACCCCAAGGCAAAATTCGTGCAAGTCAAGACACAAAGCAGACAATATCTTATTTGAGAAAGGTCCGGATGTTACAAGTGATATCAAAGCCTTTCTATGTCACACTTGGCCAATGGTGGGTCAAACCTCAATTAGCGCGTTGAGTACCAAATGAGGTTGTATGTAACACCCTAGACGAATCTCACATCGACAAAGCACGAGAGAGATGCATGATTCATTAGTAAAAAACTGATTTTAATTGATAAGACGCGCTTTGGGGTGAAATGGAAGAGTTTTGTAATAATTCTGAAGTTAAACGTGCTCATTATGGAGCACTGCAAGAATGAGTGGTCTTAAGAGAAGTCACCTTGATATGCACCCCAAGACAAACTCCATACGGGTCAAACCCAAAAAGGCTAATATCTTTTCGGTAAAATGTTAGTGTTGTTACATGAACTTTTAGAAATTTTTTTTACAGAAAACCAACTTTTAGAATTTGGTCACCTAATTCAATTTTTTATAAGGGGTGATATAGATTAGTTTTTCTTATTACACTCAATTTAAGAGAACTACTAGACCAAACCCTTGTTCCCTTTTCACCCTCTATAGATGTTGTTGGATTCGGTGGAGTCCAGCCATCGAAAGCCCAGAAGGAAGATGTCATTTGGTGAGACCAGGGCGGCGCTGAAAGGATGGGCCGCCTTCAGGGACACAGTACTACTGTAAGTAATAGCTATGGAATGAGAAAACGACAGTTGAAGAAGTATGATGAGAATGGAATAAGAAAACTATGGTAGTTTGGATAAAATGAAGGTGGATCGATATCAAATTGTAGATTAACCATTCACATGTCTAGGACGGAAACTGAGTATGACCCGCTTCTAACCCTGTAAGAACCATGCATGATCCACCTAAATAGAGGGCACACGCGTATGCCACATTAAACAACTGGTTGTATCATGACAACATCGACATTCAATCTCCACGTTTGATCAATGATTAAGGATTAGAGCGTCAATTTTACGCTGTGTTGATTAAAAACAAAAAATCGTGGACGAATGATCCATAATATAGGGGTCGTTTGGATGGATCAATCTAGAAATGAGTCAATTTGATCAATTGACTCGTTCTATAAATGAGGCAATTAAAACGAGTTAATTCGAATTACCTGCGCCCACCCCAGGTAATTGAAATTGACTCAAAACGGATCAATTCAAAATACCCCAGGGGGTCGTTTGGATTAGTGTTTTTAATTTGAGTGATTTGAGAGAGATTTGGGATCAAATCACTCGTTTTAAAACCCAGGTTTTTTATTCGAGAGATTTGTGTGGGATTTTCTCCAAATCACTTGTTTGGCAAGCAAAAAGGGATTTTAAATTGAAAATGGAAAATTACATCTTACCCTTGGACTTTCCCTATCTGTACACGAAGGAAGGGAACAAAAAGAAGCAGATTGGGTTCCTTCTTCCTCGTGCCGAGCGCTCTTCTTCCCTGCCATTCATTCCCTCACTTCGTCGTTCCGCTCTACCACTGCGGGGGAGTTGCCGCTGTTCATTGAGTTCGTCCCTTTCAATTGAATGTCCTTGGTTCGTTGGTTTGATGAATTAGGATTAGCTTCTTCAATTTGCAGGCCTCGGTTCTTGTCTTCCTCTGTTTGATATGGAAACCCAGAACCACGAGACAGGAAACAATTTGGTACCTATGCTATCCTTTGAGAAACAACCACAATCAAGGTGTAATAAACCCAAAACCCCGAGAGGAGCGACG